GACATTGTGGGTTACCTACAATGCGAAGAGATGGCGCTGCCTTGCAGCTTAAGGCTGGGAAAATTTCGACGCGGCTAATAGGGCCGTGGCAGCATAATGGTCAGTGCATTCGCCCGGATAGCGAAGGATGCGGGTTCGAGTCCCGTCCGCTGCCTGGCCCGCGTGGATTTTTTTCTAGTAAACTTTTCTTTATTTGATTAAATCACAAGATGTTAATTTATGTTAGTATACTAGGAAACGAAAGACATTAGACTTAGTTGTAATTTGATATACCTACTACTAGCAGCATGCTTAAGAGGTTTTATCAACACCACCCCTCAAATTACCCAGTAAAGAATCTAAAAACTTAGTAAACTTTACATTTCCTCGTTTGTCAGTATGTCAGCCAACATATCATCAGTGGGAATATATGTTAGCTTGACTAGACCCAGTTCTATACATTCTCTTAGAATACGCACTCTTATGTCAATATGTTTGGTCCAACGGTGAGCGATTGGATTCAGTGCCAACTTTATAGCACTCTGGTTATCTGTGCCTATGTTAACCACACATACATCTCGCAAAAGAACATTACTAACCAAACGAGACAAAAATACAGCTTCTTTGCAAGCCTCCAATAGGGCGACGTACTCAGCTTCGGTTGACGATAACGAAACACACCTTTCCTATGACATTCCCATGAAACAACGGAAGTACTAATTTTGAATAAGAAACCGCTAAAAGACTTTCTATCTTTTAAGTCACTGCCCCAATCTGCATCAACAAATCCAGATACATTAAACTCAGCAGATTTCCGAAATTCTAGACCTTTATACTTCGAATATTTTAAATAACGAAGTACTCGCTTTGCCGCTTTCCAGTGAACATACTTGTAGCAATTATTGTACTGTCCCAAAATGCTAACTGATATAGCTTTATCGGGATGCGTGTTCAGTGACAGAAAGTTATTGCACCAATAAGTGAATGATACGGTACATCAGTGGATTCATTGTCTTGAACATTACCAAGACTTGTGAATTTCTTCTTCCGTTGGTGTCCTTAAAGATATTAAGACTTTCTTGTAATTTGATATACCTACTACTAGCAGCATGCTAAAGGGGTTTTATCAACAATAAATCAAACAAATGATATTGCCAAAACTCTTGGATGTCACCATGTCCTTTGATAGATTCTTATTTTAAAAGGCTTACCCTGAGTAGATACATAGTCTCTCACATTCTAAATTCAGCAGTTAGTTTTTAAAAGGGTAAAAGAATCAAGAACCCTAATGAATCTCCATTGACACTTTCTGGATAAAAATATCCGAGGGTGACAACGGAACCCTAAATAAGAAACTGCGTTGAGGAGAGAAACAAATTAAAGGAATAAGTTATAATAATGGCGCGAATACACTAGGTCGTAAGCCCTAACACGAGTGCCAATGGAATTCTAGTAAATGATGGAATTATTCGGTGTAAATGAACGGAAGCGAGTACGCCCATAATCGTGTAGTTTTCGTTTTGGTTACCCGACACCGTCTTCCAGCCCGCATTCCAGTGTAAATATTGCTTCGGGTGCCCGAATTCGAGTAATGTCTTTCTACACCGAATGTAATTGAGCCAAGAGTCCCGTAGACATACCTTCTTGCATTGTCTATTTAAGAGACTAGTATTGTCTCTTTTTACTGACCTTAGAAGAAATCTAGTAATTTATGTTATTTACGGGATTGCTACCATGTACCTTGTTTTTAGCGAGTTGCCGATATTTCGGTGCTGTTGCAAGCACCATGATCACGGAGCCAATGATGGCGCTTACAACAGTGACGAAATATCTGCAACTCGCTAAAAACAAGGTACATGGTAACAATCTCGTAAGTAAAATAAATTACTATAATGTTAGTGACAACATTTCTGTCTGAATTCGATTCTAAAGTAGAGAATCTAGGTATGAAACTAGTGATATAATAATAGTACTAACATTATGCGAGCTACCATTCCTAGGGACGTTTTCACGAGAGCTAGTAAATTAAAAAAATCTTCTAGCCATTCTTAAGCTTCAGAATTCTGGGCTCGAGTCCCGTCTGCTGCCTGGTCCGTGTGGAATTTTTGGTGTCGTCTATATAATAGACTATGGTGGCATCTTACCATCATACGGGTCATAAACTTGTTTGCTACCCTTTTAACTTAAGAAAACGTAGGTAGTATTAGTTTATGATATTTGTAGATAGTGCGTAGTAGTGAATTTTCAATCCATTACTACTATCTTATATAGATAGATAAACACTTATAACACCAAATATATAATGACATAACATTAACAAACAATAAACTTAACAATAGTATTACAATTGGCGGTCTTATCGCTAAGAGCCATTTCTTCCAAACAACCGTGAGTATGAAAAGTTATACAGAGACTGTAGATTGGGGTGTTATATGACTTGGAATAAATAGTCGCATCTAATATATAAATAGTATTTATAATAATATGCTCTAAGGTTACGATAGAATATATATATATATCCTTCCCCATTTTCTTAACGCACTGTTGTTCCAGAAAGTCGTATCAATAAATGCTAACGAAAGCTAAATCGGCTCAGAAGACAGGCAGTTATATACCTATGGAGAATCGAAGGGAATAGTCGATGACTCTGAGTCGAAATAACCGTGGTTCATTAGAATTGCAAAGAGGGAGCGACGAATAGCTGGCGTGGCGTGATTAACTCGGTACCAAAGATGATTACAGGATTTGTGACTGCTCATGTGTTGTTCAAATTATTTAGCATTCTTAACTTGTGCCAGAAAATAGCTCAAACAATCTTATAAGAATTGACGAAATTTTTTGAAGCCAATAAACTACTAAAATATGTGTATTTATTTGTAGACAAAAATTCAATCCGTTGATGGATGACTGACTTCCTGTGTTTTTTATTATAATGCTCCAAGGTAGGCAAAGTTATAACAGTTCAGTTGCAGAAATACTTTTCTTATATCTTGCAGTGTTTAAAAATATACAAGTTTCATCAAAATATTAAGGGTAATTGAAGAATTAAAAACTAGAGTCGAAATTTCGATCTAACACTTCGACATTAAACATTTCAATTGAGACCTAGCTTCAAGCTAATGTAAACTACTGATTGATTCATTAAAAGAACACCAACTGAACGGCTTTCAAAATGCATTTTTTTTACACCATTATAAATATCTTACAACACGTTTTTTTTTATTTTTTTTAAAGATAGGTCCGACAAATGACTCCACCCCACCTGATGTTAAGTGACGGTGAAGTCCAGACGCGACGATAACTGATACAGCAGTTCTACCTGCCACACCAGCCATCCTCACCCTGCCGGCCTGCATGTTGCTTCTTCACGCCTCTGTTTCGTTTCTGTACTGTTTCCATCAAAGCTCTTTGTCGTAGCAAACCGATATTGTATCCCAAAATATCTTTTCAATAGCTCCTGAGGTGACGACCTTATTATTCAGTTGTGACTTCAAAGACATTTTTCAGAGCGGAATTGAAAAATCGAATCAAACTTTTATCAGCCCCGCTGATATTATCATTATGCGATCGTTTCTCTTGAGCGTTCATATTTTATTCTGCACTTAAACTTTGGAAAGTATTCGAACGTTCAACTCCTACTTAAACGATTGTTTAGCGTGAATTTAAAGCGACCTCATTTCTCTTCCGGAAGATTCTTCGTTTTGTCAAGTTTTGGGTTTAAACGTAGATAAAAATTAGGAAGCTAAGAATTTGGAATCTCTGATTATTTGAGTTTCAACAAAAGCTCAATTTAAAATTATAACACATTTTTTTTATAGTTGTGCTTTGGCAGAATTGTGGCATAAACATTTAATCATACCATGTTCGTGTGTGGAAAATTCTAAGGCTCAATTTATACCGCCGTGGAAGTAAACTAAATATGAGCCAAAAGCTAGGGGGATTCTCGTGATTGCGCGGAGGTTTCCCCGTAAGAGACGTCGCCAGTTTTGGCTCGTGTTTCGTTTGCATGTTTTACAATTGACATAAGTTCATTATGCTATGTACAATAGGCTAGTTGACTCATGTCGAATTGTCTTAAATAAATGTTTATTTCTTAAAGTATTTGGTCTGAGGAACCTAAATATATCGATTTCACTTAATAAAAGCCGAAGATTACTGTAGAAATTTAATTTTAAAAAATAATTTTGTCCTTACTTTTTAAACATTAAAAACGCTATTCGCCACATCCGCCATGATTGTGACGTCTCTTTGGTAGTAAACAACTAAATGTCATTTATGAATGAAATATTTTTGAATGAACATAACCTTAAAACTTGTAATATTAAAACTGATAATAAATGAAGAGACTTAAAATATTATTCAATGAGTACTTACATCTTCGCAAAAATAACCTTTACTACGAGTAGATAAAGTTGCAGGATCCCTTTTACCAAGTTCTAACCAGGTATTGCGTAGGTTAATTTCTTTCGGCACTTTAATACACAACTTTCCTGGAGTCACGTACAAACACACAGAACACATCCTTGAAGATGTGTTTTTACATTCTCGTACACTACAATAATGATAATTACTATATTTTTCGTGGTATTTATTAGAAATCATGTTTTTTTTTATTATAAACTCAGATAGGTTATTTTCTACGTGCTTGCGAGTTTTTGTTTACTACTGGTTGACGTCATAGCATAGATAATCTATAGACTAAAATGGCCGACAGCTTTGTTGTATGTCCATGAAAAATCTATTTTAAAATTAAAGATTTGTAGCTTTCTAGGTCTCAAAAAAATACTATACATTTTTTTTCGGTCTAATAGAAGATTCATTAACCATTTAAAACCTTTTTCCAAATGGGGTCAACTAGCGTATTTCTTTGCAAAATTACACTTCCATTCCAATTCGCGGCGGTATAAATTTAGCCTTAGATTGAGGCACATTTATATACGAATCGATACAGCCTGAACTTGATCTATTCGGTATGATTTCACTCTTTCGTTAAAAATTCAATGATATGTTATAAAACTCACCAGTATCAAATCTTGGTCTGCTAGGCAGCTGTCTAGGCAAGTCTTGGTTCTCGACGTGGTCAAACGTGCGGAAGCCCAGTGCAAACTCCGCGTAAGGGCTGATTTCGAACATTTCTAGTAAAGGGAAAAAATATTATGTGTATTAAAAAGTGAAATAATGTCTTAAATGCATTGAATTGATAATAATAATTGAGGACAAAACGGTATAATTACATAAAATTAAATTTTACAGGAGCTGTGTAAAACAGAATAACATACCTACCTACAGTGAGATTTTGGCATGGTTTTTAATTCATAAATTTAGTAATTTTAACACTGTTTAGGTAGCTTTGATTAAAAATTATTAAAGATTAAAAATTCAACGGAGCCGAATCCTCTGGACTGTAAAAAAAAAGTAGTTTGACCAGATGCGTAATTATAGTTTTTAGTTGAAAAAACAAAGTTGATGTTATAAAATTCAAGTATTTACCACGAGAAGATGTTATAATTACAGATCTCGGAGAGAGGATTATCGGATTCGTATTTACCTAAAGTTGAGAGTTGGCTATTATGGAAAGCACATTCAATCGTAATCTAATTAACCCAGTTTGATACAAATGAGAGTTGCCATGTTACAACGTAATATGGTTGTCCTTAATGAAACAAATATTTATATTCATTTACGTTTTCTTATTAACCAACACCACCATTTCTCTGACACCTTACCTACATACACACATACTCGAATGGGTAATTAATATTTAACTTTAAGTAAATAAATATATTAGGAAATTAGTTATGAGTTGAAGTAACTATGGATCCGGTTTTCGATCTCAAGTTATAATATACCGCAACTGAACAAAATATAAAGTTTTGCTTCAGACCAAAGTTCAGAATCGAGTTTAACTTCCTACTTTTTAAATTATAAAATAGTACCATTCAAGATAGGCTAATATGACAGCTAAACTTTCCTAAATTAAATTCAATCCAATACTTATTTATTCAGTTTAGGCTTTTACAAGAACGTGTGAAAGTCTAAAGCTACGCCATCGGTTTTCAAATATGTTGCAGGAGATCTTGTACTGAAAAAAGAACCGGCAAGAAATTCAGCAAAGGCTGCTTTTTCTCCCTATTTTATTTCATACAGTGTCGTTAAATTGAAAACTCACATCTAACTTATAAACACGTATTGATGACAACTTCCATCACCTAATTTAAAATAGATAACAATAAATATACAAAAGCCCTGAAATATCATGTAAACAATTTTAGAAATACATGACAAAGAATGTCATTTTTATTTCACTTATTATATGCATACCATTTTTGCTGGCCTTCCGTGGATGTACTGGCGAAGTGTAGATCCTTGGGGCATGCGCGTACCGATCCTTATGTTCCGAATGGGATGCCACACTCTCGTTACGTGATTTTACTTCGTCGGCGATGGAATGCCGATATTGCGATGAATAGTTCTGTCTGGAGGAGAAATCGGAGTTTGAGCGATTTACTACTGTTGATTTTAAGAGATTTTTGAGGAGCTCGATAGTGCAAGTGGTTATCGCATTCGGCCTGCGATCGTGAAAATTAAGAAACTTTCGCAATGGTCCGACATTAGATATGTGACCAAAAACTTATTAACTGGAGCTCCTCTGTGCTTCGGAAGGCACGTTAAGCCATTGGTCCCGACTGCATCTGCATTCGTTAGTACCCACAAATCTGCACTGTGCCCGAATGGTGGGTCATGGCCCAGAGTCTCTTTATTCCATCCATAGGGAAGGCCCCTGCAGTGGGGACACTAATAGGCTGATGATGATTATTGATCCAAAGTTTCTGTCACAGCTATGAATGGTTTATACAAACGCTTAGGGCCACTTGCACTAACATTGTTCATTCAAAAGAAGGCCTGGAAGGACACATCATTCCATCTTAGTCAATTACTTAAACTCAAATAGAGACAGAATAAGCTATAGACGTGATTAACCTTTAAATATAATATTTGGAGCAAGTGGGCCTTAGGGATTCACGACATTTTAATTAAACCGGATCAGGTTTAAATGCCCAATAAAATGTTAATAGGATACTGTACTGTTGATAAAGTTTGACCCGACTTGTGGAAACAGTACCTTAATAAGTAGTAGAACTCGTATATTAAGTATGGTCGATTTCAAACCTTTTGAGAGCGAATGTAAAAAAACTTTACCACTTAATTAAGTGTCGTAAATTAAAATTTTATATGTATTTTCTTTCATTCATTCATTTTTTTTTAATTTTTTATTAAATTTCATTATGGTCTACGTATTCCCGAGTCTTAGTGTTTTTTCTATGTTCAGGCTTATTTACCTATGTACTTTGCTTTTGCTCTCAACTCTCCAAACTTTTTGAAACGATTTGAATCAATCTTCATATTGGATTTGGTCAATTTTGGTCGTATTCGTTTGGTAGAAGATGTTTGCTTACAGAATTAACAGCCTGCAGTGACAACGACTTTGTATGAGTCAAATCCAAAAGTGATAAATAATTAAGGTGGTGTTTACTTTTCGACATTAATAGAAACTTTATTACGCATTACTAAGAGTGATATTCGTAATGCAATTATAGCTATTAACGGGATTGTTACCATGTACCTTGTTTTTTATGAGTCTTCGATATTTCGGCACTGTTGCAAGCGCCATGATCACGGAGTAACTCCATATAACTCCGTACAATATCAAGTATTAAATATAACGGAGTAACTCCGTGATCATGGCGCTTACAACAGTGCCGAAATATCGGAAACTCATAAAAAACAAGATACATGGTAACAATCCCCTTAATAGCTATAATGTTAGTGACCATGAAAGTTTAAAACAATATTTCGTAATACAAATGCATAAGCTGAGCTGATCCCCGAAGTCTCAGAGTAAACTGTTATCATTAGAGACAGTATTCTCTCTTAAGTTAATTTTTCTTCTTTATCCAATATATTAAATCTTTTTTAATCAGCCTTAAATATATTTTTCTACAGACCGTTCTAACGAACTTTCAAATTAGCTTTCCAGATTACTTCAAAATTTACCAACCTTTTTATAACTAAACTTATCATGTCATTTTTTCTCTTCATTAAAAGAGTTTCTGGGGGATTGCTGTAATATCTTTAAAGTTGGGAGGGCAAAAATAATTATGGCAAAACTCTAAGTAAACTGTCATAATTTGTTATAACCAAGACTTTGATTAATGAATTAAATTTGATACAATCAGTATTTCTATCGCTCACTTATTCATTCTCTCAAATTTAACGTTATTGTATTTGAAAAGTTTGTTACTTAACTTATCATTATTCATTTTTAATATATTGTGTTTGTTTCGATAGTTACTAAGACAAATGTTTTGTCTTCAAATTGTGTACCTGGCTAATTAATTACCTATATCTAATATTGTTTTCGAGGGTGGGGATCCTGGTATCCTATATTACAAGCCACGGCTTAGTTTTGGTGCCAGTCTCTTACAAATAATTGTTTAACACTAAACTGGTAATTAAATCTAGATTTAAGACATTATTTTGCAAAGAGAAAAGAAATATTTTTATGTATATTTTCTCTCACATATGAGGTATATGGGGCAAAGTGTGCGGATCCAAGACCAAGCATACATAGTATGCTTGGTCTTATTATTATTTATTTATTAAGTATAACCGCTTCATGTAGTTGCAAGTACGTAAGTGAATGCGTACTAATAAGTTTAAGACGTGTGTAAGGATTTCGGTATAACTCCTATATAAAATTATCGGTATTACATTAACTGAGTTTACTTTCCACTGTGTTCTTAATTCTATTGTTAAATCTGTTTATTAAAAAAAACGAAGATTTTCTCAGTGTAGGTATTATTAAGATTGTGTGTATTTGGAATGGCTACATCAGTATGAGGATCACTTCATTTTTGATCTAACGTAGAACGTGATATTTGGCCTATTTTAGTGTAGTGTTTTGTCGGTGATGATTTTCCCCAATAAAGATAATAATGTGTATCAAGAACCGCTTGAGGTGTGTATTTATAGTTTGATATTTTGTTAGAGACAAGTTTATATTAAAATACAAGATGTTGGTGTATGATAGCAGCAATTTCATCATGACGATGTTTATAATCTGTTACAGCTATTGACGGGCATGCTTCTGGCAAATCACCCGCGCCAACGCGTCTCCAACTATTCCCACACAGGCCACAATCACCAAAACTACACAGCTAGCATACTTGTACACTAGTTTAGCATTAGGCAGACACCGCACCCATAGGATTAGAGTGCGATGATCTACACAGGACACGCTATACCCGGTACAGGTATGTACCTGGGCGATTTCCCCGCACCCCACGACAGCGAGTAACTAGAGCCTACGTCCAAGTCTCAGAGACGCCCTCTAGATGAGCCGAACCCCTCAGGTTTGAGTAGTCTAGAGGCTGCAGACGGAGAGGAGACAACCCCGTAGAGAAATGCCATCCGCCTGGAATACCTCTAGAGGCGCTCGCCAATTCTCGGCTTGAGGTCCCCTTAGGATCTCTCCGTCCCCAAAATCTGGTGACGCTGTAAAGGTCATCTGCGACCAACAGCATACACACTCAAAAAAAGACCAGATTTAGGTTGGCCATTGCCACTACGTGTGCGACGTTCGTATGGTTTCTTCAGTTAATCTGGTCGATGCAGCTACTAGCTCTGGTCGTAGTCGTAAAGTGCGCCTTTAAAGTTTTTGCTTAATATAGTGGGATGCATAAGGACACATACCTGTGTCTCCTGAAAAGAATACAAAAGAACGCGAAGAGACAGGCCACAAGGAGTATCGAGCTGCATACGATAACCAGCATGTTCAAGTCAAATATCTCAGATGGTGGGCCGATTTCCTCTGAAACAAAAGAAAATTAACATTTAAACTTCTGTGACGTCATTGATCTTTAATCGCATAAAAGTTATGATGTAATCGCAGTGTATCCCCCCCGGATAGCGGAGGGTGCGGGTGTGGGTTCGAGTCCCGTCTGTTGCCTGGTCCGCGTGTTAATTTACCTAATAAAATTTTCTTAAGATTTAAAAACATCTAGCAGTTAACCGCTTAAATAAAAATATGACACAATATAGTTTTAGTAGAAACTAGTAGAATTAGAATTTTATAGTTTGTTGTTGTAGAGTAAATTAGCACGGAACAACATAATTTATTGAACACATAAATACGCAAATTCACATAAAAAACGTAAATTCACAGTGTGGTATAGCTTCAACCGTTCTCTATGTTTATTTCCTCCATATTCGACCTTCTTGCCACCACTAATTTTAAAATGAAATCTAATTTTATATTGTCGCAAAGGTAAGGTAAATAAGTATGTGTATACTTATCTAGAAAAAAAATACATTATCGTTAAGTATATAAACTCCTTGTAAACACTAGATTTAAGTAAGGAATGGTAGACAAAAAGGGTGTCTAATACCAATGGAAAACGTGTTTTGTCTGCAACCGTAGTAGATTAGGTAACAACGGAAAAATATTGGTCATCGGATGAGATGAATAGGGACCAAAAATATATTATTTCAAGCCAGTTTTGGATGTATCGAACAGAAATATGCTATTGCGAAAGGAGCAAATTGATTTCCTTACCAAAAGTGTTCTAATTCTGCTTTAATATTTTATAATGCACCTATTCGTCGTGCTCTTCGTAAGTGGAAGGAATTCTTTGCCCGCGCACGTATTCTTCCTTTCCGGGTCCTTTAAGAACGGCGTGAAGAAGCATTTTTGCAGGCTGGCAAGGTGTGGATGGTTGGTATAGCAGCTATCTTCGCGTTTGGACTTTATCAAAACTTAACATCAGGTGGGGTAGAGTCATTTGCCTACCTCGCTTTAAAAACAAACTTTATGGTAAGCGGGCCACCATTATTTATCAAAGTTGTCATATTTTAACAGTAATCCAAATGGTAATTATCTCCAAATAAAAATCATATTTTGCGACTCAACTTTGAAAACAGGCCAAGCGCGATTAGCACACGTATTTTTCCGTGTTTTCTGAAATACCGGGATTTAAGCTCGAACTAAAATCATCATGAAATCAACTATATTATAAATATAGATCCAATATTATAAAAGCAATATTAATATAATTTCCGCGAAAAAGTCCATTTATTCTCTTTTCTCTTTCTATTCCATACAGTTTGCTGTCAAGCGGACGGAAAACGGAAGCTTACAGATAAATCTTTATTATAAGTGGATAATAGAATTGTTTATTCTTAGAACGTTGAAGCTTCTGAGTATTCGTCTGACGCTGCGAATATAACTGAAACATTTATGTTATAATACCTAAAATCCTTAATTAAATACCATCTAACCGAGACTCGGCAGGGCAAAAACATCACGGTTTTCGTTAACCAAGAAAGACGGGTTAATCTTCTATAATAATTAACCTGTTTGAACTCTACTAATTGAAATACTCGTCATTCTATCACGATCAGCCCCGTGCACAGTTTTTTTTTTTTATGTTAAGAGATTTAATAAACCCTTGTCTACGAATTCGGGTTAAAAATATTTGATAATAATGTTTATAGCTTATTATATTTTTATTTTAAGTTGCTAGATTGCTCAATAAAATAAAAGCATGGGTATTACATGATTACTTGAATTATTTCTTAAAAAACGAAAAATCATTCATATATTGTAAAAATATAAGTAATAGGGATGATGAAAGATTTTTTTTCAGGAAGATTATCAAACGGTTTTGGACACGTAGTTTTTCTTCATTCGCATTATCAAAATATTACAGAGATATATTGTTTTGAAATATCGCATGAGGTCATGTCTTAGTAATTTTTTTACTTAGAAGTGACGACACGAGTCGTCTCCCCAATCACCAGTAATTCTACGGTTGATTGACAAAAGAAAAAATAAGTGTCCATTGCTTTTTTGATAAGTTAATTGACGGGCTAAAAAATAATTTCCTTTATTTTACCTCTTCATCATCCCTATTCAAAGATGTAATATAACTTGATAGTTATATTTCATCTAAGAAACATGGTAAGATATATATGTAATATAAGAATTATGCATAAATGATAAAAAGATAATTTTAGTGACACGCCCCTTTGATTTCGGTGTAGACAATAGTTTTTATGTTCAGTCATGTCTTGTACTAACCATAATTCGTTCAGTAGTTTCAGTCACTCGTCTCAAAAACACGTGAATGTAAACTTTTTACAATGATGTAGGGTAAATGCACGAGTGAGCTCAAAATTTTTGCCAACTACTTAAGCACTAAAAGTTATTTCGGAAACTGTACAAGTTGTGAGCCATCAAAACTTTGGCCATTATAGACTGACAGAGTCAGGGAATCCATGAGTGACGTCACCAATCTAACTTTGGAGTGGTTCGTGTCGCTTTTCACATTAATAACGTCTTTGAGGCACACTGGAAATTGGCCAAGAGTCGGCTCGGATAAGTTCTCTTTGTGTTCGTTAAGGAATCTCAAAATTAGTTATAAATTAATTGATTTTATTTCAAGTTCTACTGAATTTAATAAGTAGACGGTTCTTCGATTTTGATTGCATCAGCGTTAAACAACATTTTGATAAAAACAAATAGTGGTTAGTAATATGTTAGTATTTTTATATAAATATATATCATTTATTATAGTTTTTATTCTGGACTTGTGTTATACTTACATATTATCATCATCATCAGCCTATTAATGTCCCCACTGCTGGGGCACAAGCCTTCCCTATGGATGGAATAGGGACATTGGTCCATGACCCATCACGCGGGCCCAGTGAGGATTGGTGGGAGCTAAAAACTGCAGATGCAGCCGGGACCAACGGCTTAACGTGCTTTTCGAAGCACGGCGGAGCTCGGGATAGTATTTTTGGTCACCCATCCAATGACCGACCATCGCGAAAGTTGCTTAAGTTCAACGATCGCAGCCGAACGCGCTAACCACTTGCGCCATCATATTAACTGTTCCAGTTTTTTTTTTGTTATATTGGTGGCAATCAAACTTACAGCCCTCGTGGTGGTAAACGGCCACCGATCTATAGACGATTGCGATCCAAATAATATCATTGCCCTACAGCCCTACTCACCGACAGAAAGACAACACCACCAAAAGGTAGATAGTGTTATTTTACTGTGGTCTTCTGTCTAGGCAGGCGTGTACCATCCTAGGCCTCATCATCGCTTTCCATCAGGCGAGATTTTGGTCAAACGCATTGCCTATTATGCATTAAAAAAAGTGGAGTTTATTTCCCCAGACAGGCGCTCCAATTCGAGCGGGAAGTCCACTATGCCCTATCTCTCTTTGATCTAACCGATGTTTTTAACTACAACTTCAAAATTAATACTTTAGAACAAATAGTAAGATAAGATATTTATAGCTAATAACCTTAAAATATATAATGAATAAAATACATTCTTAAAAGGAGTCCCTTTAGGCAAGGTTCCAAAGATACTGGCAGCGTTCCCCCTTTGAATAGCTAGACTAATTCTTTGTTGAAGGTAGCTGCCAGCTCTTCGGTCTCCTGTGATTTTTTGATGTTTAGTTATAAATATCTTACTATTTGTTCTTTAGTTAAATTATTAAATTAGCTCCATTATTATCATTACATTAAATTAATACTTTGCATAGATATAGACTTTGATGTTTTAAAGTTATAAGATACGTCATACACGCTTCTAATTTGGCAATACGAAAGTCTGGTAATTGCCCGACTTGCATTCAGTCGGGCACGCCCTCTCGCCGCGGCTACACTCAGCTACAATGTGTAAATATTTTAAGTTTTTCCAGACAAAAAGCAATAAGTGTGTTTTAGATAGTGCACAAATTACACAGGAACTATTAGAGATAAGAAAACGTGTCATTTTATTCGTAAGTACAGTTTTAAGGAAATTAATGTAAAAATATTTAGCGATTTCTAATTTTGACAGTTGTTGACACCATTGTCACGTGGTAGCTCAAGAGCGAGATGTAATCGGCTTTATGCATGAGCATAAAAGAGACTACTTTAGTGCGTTCTACTGATCGCTGATGCCAAGGAAATTTAGGGGCGGGGAGTACTTTTGCCACTTGAAAATGCAATAACGTTGGCGTATAACCAGTCTATGTATTATACGTAATTGGATATATACATTTGTAATCTAGATTACTTACCTAAATGTAATATTCCTATCATATTATTTAAATTTTATATCTCGTGTCATACATATTATCACATTATTATTAATAATAATAATTAATAATTTAATTTATTTGCCAAAATACAGTTCACAAGTTGATACATTTTATAAAAGTAAGTACATGTTTTCTACCTGCAGGCAGGTGTGCAAATATTGCAGTCAGTTATTTTGTCATCTGTCATATATTCCTTAATACTATAATAACTTTTTTTTTGTAACCATTTTGTCAACTTACTTTTAAACAGTGTCCCAGTTTCTAATTTTATATTATCGGTTAATTTATTATATATAGATATTAACATGTTAAAAGCATTAACTTTAAAAATATATGCGTGGCAATATACGCGTATTCTTCGCTCTAAAACAGTCCGTCATTATTTCTCCAATCTTTAATCTAAAAACTAACACTTGTAGGTACTTACCTCCGTCCATTGTCTTCGTCGCGTAAGTATAAACGGTGGAAGCTACGCCAGCATCGTTTGTCGCAGTCACTCTTAGCTGATACCAACTCGCGGGAGCGAGAAGACCTACAGCGTACGACGAAGGTATGGACCGTAATGGGGGCGCTTGGTAGTGGCCTTCGACGTAGCTCCAGCCGAGGTTCAAATCCATGGGCTATAATAAATAAATATTTCTAACACTCACACCAATTACCTAAGCCTCGAAGTAAGCGTTGTTAGGCATGTGGTATTTACTTAGGCAATGGATAGAAATACATATATGAGAAGCTGGGGAACAAAACGGTATAATAACATAAAATAAAATTTTACAGGAACTGTATAAAACTAAATGACATACCTACAGTGAGCTTTTGGCATGGTTTTTAATTTATGAAGTTAGTAATTTTAATACTGTTTTAGGCGGTTTTGATTGAAAATTATTTGAGATTCAAAATTCAACGGGCCCGATAGCTCCGGACTGTAAAAAACAGTGTAGTTTGTCCAGATGCGAATATGCTCATATTTAGTAAATAAAAAAAAAAACTAGAAATATAATTATACACCGTGAATCGTATCGTATAAGAGTTACCTGTGAAACTTAAAAATCGTGAAAATAAAAATAGTGGGAATAGTTTCAAAAAGAGTAAACGTACCCATACAAAAATATTCATTAAAATCGTTTACAAAATGCCTTTAAACGGCGCAAATTTGTAAATAACATACCCTATTATGCAATTATTACCCGTTTAAAGTACATACGGAGATCCTAAAAGTAGTTTTCTTTGAATCAATTTAGGACAGTAAAAATTGTTAAGGTTTCATAATTGCACAATCACTGTCTAATTATTATTTCAATATAATTCTATGCACAATTATTGAATTAAAGTGAAGACACTTTTCGAAAAAAAAATTTAAAAAACACATTGTTTTTGTAGAAATATAAACATACCACTTACATTAAGAATGTCGTCTAGAAAAAAAATTAGGACCGTTATTTAAACATGTCGTTAAATTATATATTGTCCTCGATAAAAATATTCTACTCATTTGAGAAAAACCAAGAGCTTCATCTTTAATATCAACGGAGTAACACTTCGTGATCATGGCATGAAACTCGCTCAAAACAAGGTACATGGTAACAATCCCGTAAATAACATAAATTACAATAAAAGTGACCATGAAAGTTAAAAACAATACAATGAGGAACAATTGTTGTACTATTGTGTGCTTCATTGTTATACATTACAGTAGTCACTTGCTATCTACATTTATTGAAATTTGGCAAAGCAAGTAAAAGAAGTTATTAGCTTTTATTGACTCCCGTTAAGCTCAAGTATACTTACAGCTTTGTTCTCCGCTTTACTCCACACTGCGGAGCCCAGTAGCCTGTAGTCTACCTCCCATCTGGTGACATCACATCCACCGTCGTCCCAGCCGCTGAGCTGCACGTAGATGTGGGTGGCATTGCTCCACAGCCAATCGGTTGTGGGAGGAGACACTGGAGCTATTGGGATGTTTAAGTGACCTTTATAATGTGCTCCTTCGACCTTCCGAACAAATACAACAAGGTTGCTATACCTTAATAATATCTATGCCTTAATCACATGGTCCTTCAAGCCGGATCGAATTTCCTGATAGCCTGTATTATTATTCTTTACTATGGATATTTGAAAACATTCTATATAAAATATTATGTCCTGTAATATATGTATAGGTCTATGAAATTATGTTGCAAAATTTAATGAAAATATCTTGTGATCTGAGTTCTGGACCAGTGATCTCTTAACGAGAAGAGAATTATCGGAAAATCCTTACTTCAATTGAACTTTTGTATGAAAAAGCAAAGTTTGGTAAGTATTTTTAGCCCAAAAACAAATTGAAATGGAAAGTTTATACCCCGACTCTTAAGAAACTTATATTATGATGGATAAAGTTCGGAGTTGAACCTAAGAAGCTACTTAACACAAACAATTATTACAGTTAGGCGAGTACGTCTCAAGTTTAATCGTTTTCGAGGGGATTATAATTATATTTGACGTTTGCGCGACTCGAAGTTTGAAGGATTAAAATGATTAAATAACTTTCTTTCCGTCTGTGTAAATATTGAAATCCGGATTTATTTCAAGAGCGCTAAGGCACCGTGGGTTTACCACTTCTCTTGATTTGTCTGTCAATGGAACTTTATAAAAACTATTATAAAGAAGAATTAAAAAACATTTATAAGGTTAATTTCATTTATTTTTTGTTAATTTAATATTGTTTTTTTTATATATATATTTTTTAACATAAATTAGTGAGCAGTTCATGGATTCATTCAGATGTTTTGTTACCAAGATTTAAATTAAACCTCTCAGAACTATAACATTCCAGTTGTGTCAAAAAAAAAATTTACACTCATAAGTTATCACAACTTTTGTCGTAATTAAAAGTGTATGGTTATGAAAGGTGATTCCAGCGTTTATTCTAGTAGTATCATTGTTGTAAAACTTACCTCCACCTAAAGTGACGACGTCAGCGTGCGCTGGGGCAGATGTGCCAATGCTATCTGTAGCAGTAACTCGTATAGAATATTTAGTTCCACACTTTAAGCCTGATAATGTGTGCTGTTGAACTCCTGGTAATCTGGATTCTCTTGCTGCGGGCCAAGCCTCTTGCCAAGGTCCATCGGCTTCCCGCCACGTTAAATTATAACCTGACGAACATTATCGATTCCTATGATTTTTTATTGGACAACACCCCATTAAATTTAGATTTTGATATAAGCGCAAATTACTTAAGGAGATAAATAATAGCCAAATGAGTGACAAACTATGTATTTCTCATTAATGATCATCACCAGCCTATTAAAGTTACTGTTGGATTACAGGCCTTCCCTTTTGATAGAATACTGAGATTAGGCCATGAGCCCTTGACCTACCACGCAAGCCCAATGCGGATTGGGGTGTTCTGATAACTGCAAATGCAGCTGGGGCTAACGGCTTAATCAGTTTTCTAAAACAATCTTGAGATATTCAATTTTTGGTCACCCAACCAAACGTTACGAAAATTAGCAACGGACACAAAAGCTGTTAATTAGTTTTATACTTACTTATACCATAATTGGAAGTGTCGTTATTGTAAGTCTTTATTTCATCCCATTCGACAACGATGTAGTCCTTGTATGGCGTAGCTCTTATAGCAGGCGGATCAGGCAGTGGTAGTACCCTTACTGCGTATACTACTGAATCAGATCCATACAGGTTTTTAGCTAAGCAGGTGTAGTTGCCACTTAGTGCTTGGTCGATACCTAGGAAATAAAAAAGGCTTCTATTATTTCTCCATAAATTCTTAAAGGAGGCTTCTTAAAGGAGGCTTTTTAATTTATCAATGTCTTATTTTATTACAGACGAATTCTCATAATCATCTAAACAAAATATAATATCTACTTCAAAACCTCATTAAAAACAAAATTATTTATTTTTAGATCGTCAAATTGTGTTCGTAGTCTCGTTAATGCTCATTGCGTGGTAATTTTCAAATGACTTAATATTCTTTCACAATTTGACTGAAGCTTAATTATGGAGCGAAAATTGTTCGGCAATTAGAATGCCCACCTATTTTAAATTTAATAACGTTTGAGGTAAAAATCATGTTATACATTTTATGCAACAGCCATCATTCCGTCAACGATTATCATTTAAATTTAATATGGTAGAGCTATACAGTCATGATCAACTAATTAGCGACAATCTCTAGTTAAGCCAAATTGTGATTTTTTTTTTCAACGAGTTTAAAATATTCCATATCTTTTACATGTAAGTATAATTAGTCATTGATGTGCCCGATTATACAAACAATAACAACTTCTTAAACATTAAACCTCTTTACAGTATAGCTGATAGATTATCATAGTGCTATTTGTTCAAATAATGCTCTGGCCATTTAATTAGGGACAATGAGATATTGCGTTCTATTTTCAAAATTTGAATCTCAATACTTTTTTACTTCTTCTCTTATTGTTTCGTGGTAGTTTTGGCGGCAATCCCGATTTTTAACACAGCTTTAAATGTGCCCAGAACGAAAAGATCGAGAAAAACAACTCCGCAAGAAGATAGAATGATAACCAGGTTAGCTAAGAAAGATCCGTTTCTAGGCTCTATTTTAATTAAACACGAAGTGTTTGGGGCAGACGTAAGAGCTGGTGTCTCAGCGAGGACCGTTCGACGACGTCTGGTAGAAGCAGGGTTGTTCGGAAGAGTGACTCGCAAAGTACCGTTGTTAAAGAAAGAACATAGAAATGCTCGTTTGGCGTTTGCATGTAAATATGGACATTGGACCTACGCCCAATGGCAACATATATTATTCTCTGACGAGACCAAGGTTAATTTGATTTCTTCAGATAGAAGGCAATACGTACGGCGTCCAGTAAAAGCGGAAATGAATCCAAGATTTACAAAAAAGCAGGTGAAACATGGCGGTGGAAACATTAAAATGTGGGGTTCATTTTCTGGACGTGGAGTGGGACCTGTGAGGAAAGTTCAGGGTAACTTAGACCAACATCAATACAAGGCAATATTGGAGGAAACGATGCTTCCCTATGCTGAGGAGCATCTCCCTATTATATGGACGTTTCAGCATGATAACGACCCGAAACATACCGCTCGTTCAGTCAAGTCGTTTCTCACCAGTCAGTCAGTATCGGTGCTAGATTGGCCAGCAAATAGCCCGGACCTTAACCCAATCGAGCACCTTTGGCACGAAATCAAGAAAAAAGTTGCCATTTATCGTACAACAACTTTAGATGAACTTAATGAAGCTTTTTGTGTGGCATGGGCAAACATTCCTGTCGAAATATGCCAGAAACTGATAATGTCTATGCCACATCGTTGTCAAGCGGTAATTACTAACAAAGGTTTTGCTACTGGGTACTGATTTTACACGTAATAAAATGGAGCTGTTAAAGATATTATAATACTGCAGATTATTAGTTTTGTATTTTTCATTATAGTTTACTATCCTTAATTAAATGTCCAGCTACAGAATTATACCTTAAAATTGAATACATGTTCAACCTTTGATATTAAATACTTTTTTCTATTTATTTATTCTTTTATTTACAGCCATTTATAGCATAATAATCGGCCCAAATTATGCAAATAATAGGTGCTGAGAAATGAATAGGGTTTTATATTTATATGTACATAACCGGTTATTGCTCTTCACTATCTTGAAAGTGCCTAATTAGTTGACCACGACTGTATATGGTATCTATATTTGACATTCTTAACAATATTATGAAATTCAACGATAAACACATACAAATGAAATCTAAAGCAAAGAAGAAATTTCAACCAAATACTTTAAAGTTTAAGACTTACTTTTGATGAGCAAGCTGTCATCTCTGTTCCTAGTGAATCTCGGGTGGTGGGTAATAATGTTCTGGTTGTGGTACCACACAGTCCTTGGTGGTGGAGAGCCTACACTCTTGCATTCTAGTAAGAGCGAGTTTCTCACAGCTACAGTCACTTCACCGCCTAATGATGCGACTCCTGCTACCACTGTTGCAAAAAATAACATCACTGAACTCATTTCAATAGAACATAATCAAGAGCTCGATGGTGCGAGTGGGTGGAAAGTTCTTTCGGTCTGCGATCGTGAAATTTCTCATTGGTCTAGTTTTCATTTGGCTTCATCCATAGGGAAGGCCTGTGACATCTGGGACATTGATAGGCCGCTGATGAAGTCAAAAACAACTGCTGCAATATTTCAAATAAAGTGTCAGAATTTTTTCTTATCGCACAGACGTTATTCGGTTTTTATGACAATCAGAAATGTTTTATTAAACTGAATCTTCAAAATAATATAAATATAAAATGGGTTTCTCACGAATTCATTAAGAATTGATTACACTTTTATTTATGCATTGAACTGCTTGACTTTGATATTATAAAAAAAAGGTCTTTACAAACTATTATAATCAAATATGCAAGTTAGCAAATAAATAAATATTACAAAACGCTAGCTTCGTAAGGGTCAGTGGTAGTTACTAAAATTACTCGTTCTGAAAATAGCTGGCCAATTCCCCAATCAATAGAAAGTCTACACTGGAAACTAGAATTGCTAGGACCACGCTTAATTTTGAATCTACAGATATTTATAGAGGCATTAATGATTGGTTTATTAACTTCATGATTTCCGTAGAATTTATATTTTTATAGACGCCTAATTGATGCAACGGCACTCTAATCCTCTGTTCCAATGATCTTGAGTTGAAGTTCTCGTTCCGTTCGGTCTATTTTTCTGTGTGATGAACACAAGTTCGTATTTGTTCCTGAATCATGGTCGTTTAAATCATCATCACCAGCCTATTAATGTCCTGACTGCTGATTCACAGACTGCCCTATGAATGAAATAGGCAGATCGGGCTGTGATTCACCACCGGCAGATGCAGCTGGGACTAGCAGTTTAAAATGACACTCTGACTTCATCTGATCAGTTTCACTTTACAGTTGGTAAGGGAACATGTTGTTCATGCTTTATGACTTTTTTATGTTAAAAGGGTGGCAAATGATCTTATGGCCCGCCTGATGGAAAGCGGCTACCATAGCCTTTAGACGCTTGCGATACCAAAAATATTACTCGCGCCGCTGCCTATCCTGACCAAATCTTCTCCCCTTGGAGTCCTGGAACCTTCCTCACCGACAGAAACACAATACCACCAAAAGGTATTATATCTATTAACGGGATTGTTAACATGTACCTTCTTTTTACGAGTCAGAGGGTAGATCGATATGTCTGCCAATAACATCTACCCGCAGTTACTTCAGTTACTCCGTGATCATGGCGCTTGCAACAGTGTGAAATATCGGAGACTCATAAAAAACAAGGTACATGGTAACAATCCCGTTAATAGCTATAATGTTAGTGACCATGAAAGTTTAAAACAATACACCAAAAGGTAGTTTTATTTTACTGTGGTCTTAACTTACCTCTTTGCGATGTTCTTTATTATCTCAACTTACCTCTTTGCGAAGGGGTATTGGTGACTCTTCTACTCTCGGGTCCTTCCCCAATAACAGTGCTAGCGGTCACCCATACATCGTACTGTCTGCCTTCACTCAAGCCCTTGATATCTACAGTCTGAGTCTTTTCATAAGCGTCTGTAGTTTGCTGGGCGTCAATCCGAATAGTTTGGGGACCGTCGTTGCTGGAAAATATTGACTGTTCAACCGAAAAAGGATAAACTTGTTCCCTTGAAAAAAAAAGTGAACTGCTGATTCACTCTCTTTTGTTTTCTAGAAAATTTGTTAATTTTTAAATACACACCTCAAGGATCTAAGCAACATGAATTATTTACGCAAACTGTAAGTTTTTATCAGTTTTTTAAAGGATTTTTTGTTTAATTCACTAATTAATCAAATTGCTTATTAAAAAAGATAATATAAGTGTAGTTTAACAAAAAGAGTAATTAAAAATCGGCCTAACGTTCGAAAAAGTTCAGGTTACTTAGATTTTTATGTTTACCTATATTAATAGTAGTTATTTTAGTAGTTTCGGAATATTATTATTACTTAGTGTTAATTAATTTTGTTTGACTTGATACTTCGGCAAGTATTAACTTACGGAATACAAAACTTTTAACTTGATTACGGTTTTGTTTATTTAGACAAAGTTGTTTACAAACACTTGTATAAGGCGGTGAGTTGAATAATGGGTTCGGTATTAATTTTAGTCTCCTGACAAAATGATTTAATGACTATAAATCTCTAATTGAAATATCTCGTAATCACTCATAATTAAAAAGATAATTCTGATTAGACAGTACAAAATTAAATATAATAAGTTCGCAAAAGATATTATATTGTCTAACTAAATTATTCGGAACAAATGTGATTTATTCAAAATGAATCTACATATTTTATTTCAGAATATAATGCTACATTTTTATATAATACCACCTCCAATCTTTAGATATTCAAAATAACCTTTAAATTATTAAAGACAAATCGAAACTATTAGACCCACTATGAGATGAATTAGAGGCCTTTACTAGATATATCCGTTCACGCGTGAGCACACTTGTGTACCTTACCGGTTACGTTTTTAAGAGAAAACAGCTTTCTACTAACAAATAAACAACAAAAAATAACTTGGAAATTAGTTTTGTGACATTGACGATGAACAGACTATTTAACATAGAAGTTCAGGTCTGTAAACACTTATTGCAGTTCGAATTTTATAATACTGAAATTGACATCTACAAGTTTTATATTCACGGAATCTTTCAAATAGAATCAACTCTAATTTTAAGTAGATTAAAGTTTAAAATACCTTGCAGTTGGTTTGCAGTAAACCGTGTAGTGCAGTAGTCTACCGTTGGGTTGTTTTGGTTTCTTAAAGCTCACCAATAGCGTATTGGAAGATTGAGATAGGAGTTTTATTTCCGCTGGCGCCTGAGGTACTAAAGAAAAGTAAAATATATATCATAGCCTTTTCGCTTATGACATCTTTTTTATCTTACATCTTTTTAGTTTTAAAACATTTAGTATAAGTCAAACGTCAATCTTTTAATTTGAAAATAAAGCATTCTTCTTTGTATAATGTATATTTCTTTCAACGTCATTAAGAACTTTTTTTAAATAATCAAATATTCTGACAGTAACCTATTCATGAGACGACGGAATCTTAAAAAGATCTGAAATGTCTAGAATCAAGATGTTAAATTATAAATCAAAGCGTTTTAAAAAGTAATCTGTTGAAATGTGTCTTATTGAAAAAACATATTCATTAGTACATTTTCATGCGTCTCCTACACCTGCGCGACGCGCGACGCTTTGGGTAGCTATTGTACAAATGAGCTAAAATAATCGCGTTCGAAATTTAAATTCATTCTGTCGTAATGAATTATCGGGCTACGTGTTTATAGATGCTAGACGATAACTCGACTGGTGATAATTTGACACGCATAAAACAGGTTGTGGGAGATAAATTTGCATGTGCAGCTGAAGGAGCGTAGCCAACTTACGATGACACTTATAGTACAGTCAATCTGTAGGTTGAGTGGTGAAAAAAAAACCTAAAGGGTAAGTCTTGTTTTTCTGTTGCCAAATGACGTCAGTAAGCCACCTTGGCGATGGGCATGTTCAACTCGTAGGCCTTTTTTGAAAAACTCAAAAAAACCGTCAAAATTTTTTTAAAGCTCATTTTTCTTGTTTTGTATGAATTTTAGAAACTTTTTTTTCAACCATAATTGTAGAGAGCGTCGAGTACTACAAATTATATCATTGTTGCAATCTCGTACAACAAAAAATGCACATTGTAGGTGGCGCTAAAGTCTCAAAAAAATGGTTTTCACTTTTTCACCCTGAAAATATAATTTTAATGGAAAACTTTAAATGACCAAGTTGTTTCGTACATAATTACCAACAACTTATGTATAAACAATTTTTTTGTATTACTTACCGTTTTCAAGTTATAAATTGCGCAGGTATGAAAAATCCAATAGAGCGGTTTTGGGCAGTTCAAACACACATTTGCAGTGCACATTTCAATGTACGTTCTTACTTTTTTTTTTCAATCATGAAAAAAAATAAAAATAAAACTATTTTTTTTTATTTTATTTTATTTTTTCAATCATGAAAAAAATAAAAAATAGTAAAACGTACATTGAAATGTGCACTGCAAATGTGTACTTGATCTGCCTAAAACCGCTCTATTGTATTTTTCATACCTGCGCAATTTATAACTTGAAAACGGTAAGTAATACAAAAAAATTGTTTATACAAAAGTTGTTGATAATTATGTACGAAATAACTTTGCCATTTAAAGTTTTCCATTAAAATGATATTTTCAGGGTGAAAAAGTGAAAAAACACTTTTTTTGAGACTTTAGCGCCACCTACAATGCGCATTTTTTGTTGTACGAGATCGCAACAATGACATAAATTGTAGCACTCAACGCCCTCTACAATTATGGTCGAAAAAAAGTTTCTAAAATGCATACGAAACAAGAAAAATGCGTTTCAAAAAATTTTTGACGGTTTTTTTGAGTTTTTCAAAAAACGCTTACGAGTTGAACATACCCATCGCCAAGGTGGCTTACTGACGTCATTTGGCAACAGAAAAAACAAGACTTACCCTTTAGGTTTTTTTTTCACTGAAACGATATTTTTTTCGACAGATTGACTGTACTATTATTCAAATTACGAACGTAAATTTCAGCGCATTTTAGTACCAAAGCTATTCAAAGCGTCGCTCGTTTTAGTATTTAGTAATACTGGTATTTAGAGCCCTTTACAAGCATACCCTTTCACGAACATGACGTGTGAGCACACTTGTATATCTTACCGGATACATTTTTAAGAGAGAATAGCTTTTTGCTTATGAATAAACAACAAAAAATAACTTAGAAATTGGTTTTGGGACATTGACGATAAATAGACGTTCGTCTTGCAGGTGTGGGAGAAGCATCAGGAGAATACTTCATTAAGGAACCGAAATCTAAAAAGAATGTTGCCTTGAAACAACTTAAGTTAATTGCAAGCGCTAAAACGTTATATCCTACTGTCGATTCGACATTTCCGTATTTTACATTAAACTATTCCGAGCTTACCGTCTTGTAGCGTAGCGCACACAATGGGAAAGGTGAACGGACCCAGTCCGTAGTTAGAGAAGCCCGCAACTTTGATGGTGTAATTGGTGAACTTGAGCAAGCTCTGCAACCGCAATTCCGTCACCAGCGTAGTAGCGTTCAACCAATTGCGACCTGTATGCAAGTTTCAACGTAGTTCATAGTTAATATAGCAAGTTTACAACGTAAATTTGTAGATGCAGATGATAAATCAAGATTTCGAAGTTACTGAATTGTAAATAAAACAAGTTTTAACTCAAGTGTGTTTGATTATAACAATATATTGTAATGTTACAGATTACAAAAAAATAATTAGGCAGCTTATTACAAAATAATTAGGTAGTTTAGAACTAAACTCGATTAACTGAAAAGAAAATGAAAAATGCAACAGAACAGTTGGTCTATATGTGACTGAAATGTATTTATTAGTAAACAAAGTTTGGCTGTTCATAGATTTAACTCAACTAGTTTTGTAAATTACTTTTTTCAGTGTAAGGTAATTTATTATCATCATAGAATACACTATTTTCTACGTTATTCAGCATAATTATTATCATAGGATATACGATGTTGGATTCCGCTCGGGGTAATTGTTACCATCATTAACCTATTCTCCTATTCATATCCTTCCTATGGCCAAAGTTTAGTAATGATAACGGATCTCGAGATATCAATTTTTTCATCACCAATCCAAAAACCGGCGAAGCAATACTTGCTTAACTTCCACAATCGCTAACCAAACATGCTAATCACTATGCCATCGGGCTTCTCAGCTCAGGGTACCGGTACTTTTATTTATTGACATTTCGCATCCTTTACAGGAGGAATAAAATCAGTGCATCTATACCGTTGAAACTTTTTTTTATTTAATGAGTGATGTGCATGAAAACCTGAGAACCAAATTACTAAATGATACCTAATTCTCATTTAACTTGGGAAAAACAGACAGTTGAAAATCAATATTTATGTAGATTTGTACTGTGACATAATTGTTTGAAGGAGCTTGATGGCGCAAGTGGTTAGCTGCGATCGTTGAATTTAAGCAACTTTCGCAGTGGTCGGTCATTAGATGGGTGACCGAAAATTTACTATCTCGAGCTTCTCCGTGCTTCGGCAGGCACGTTAGCCGTTGGTCCCGGCTGCATCTGCAGTCGTTAGTACCCACCAACCCGCACTGGGCCCGCGTGGTTGGTCTTGGCCCAATCCATAGGGAAGGCCTGTGCCCCAGCAGTGGGGACATTAATAGGCTGATGATGATGATGATAATGATAATTATTTGTGGGACAGATCTTTGGAGAAAATAATACAATGCATGTTTTCCTTATACTACCGAATTTGTGTGTTAAGAAAAAGTATCAATACAAAAGGAAAAGTTGATAGCAAGAAATTAGTGCTTAATTTTTTTTTCAGTAATTCGCGATCGTAACCTAACTTTACTAAACTGTTTCCGACTCATTTGATAGAGTTTGTAAATATTGGTTCAAATTCAAATGCTTTATTGCGAAATTTAGGTTAGTACAGAAAATTAGTGTTACGTAAAAGGTATAAATTGTGTCAATTCGTTTCGACCTTATTACAAGGTATATAATAGTTATATCTTTTTTTTCTTTAGATTTACAATACAATATTTTTAGGAATTTTTAATCATGGTAAAAAAATCAACAATTACTATATTACAACGATAGTTAGAAATAAATGTCATAATATGTTTAATGTAAAATTACTAGGCAATATTTATATGTCCAATTTAAAATAAATAATAAATAGTGCTATTATAGGCTAAAATAAATTAAGTTAATTAGTTAATTATGTTAATTTCTTTCAAGGAAGTGTCACTAAGGAACTCTTGTCAATTAACAGCTTCTATAAGCGTTTCTTAGAAATAGTCATTGGCAAACTCTTTTTATTATTAGGTATTTTGTTAAAAATTGTAGTAGCCATCCCGATGACACTATTGCTAAAGAATGCAGTTTTACGTTCCATCGCAGATAATGTATTCCCCATCCCTCGTATATCCCTGTCCTAAACATTTATTGAAAAAAAAAAGTTTGATTGGGATGCTTTCCGTCTAACTTCGGTCTCAAAGTTAAAAGGCTGCTGGCAAGTTCGAATTTTATTGGCAAGTTAAATTAAGTACACTTCTAGTTATTATCCAACCAATTTGAAAAAGTACCCGGAAGCCCGATGGCATAGTGATTAGCATGTTTGATTAGCGACTGAAAAGTAAAGCAACTATTGCTTCGCTGGTTTTTGCATGGGTGATGAATTTTTTTTATCTCCAGCTCCGTTATCGTTACTACACTTTTGCCATAGGAAGGATATGAATAGGTGAATAGGTTAATGATGGTAATAATTACCCCGAGCGGAATCCAACATCGTATATCCTATGATAATAATTATCCTGAATAACGTAGAACGTAGTGTATTCTATGATGAGAATAAATTACTCTACATTGAAAAAAGTAATTTACAAAACTAGTTGAGTTAACCGATGAACAGCCAAACTTTGTTTACTAATAATATATATATTTCAGTCACTTATAGACCAACTGTTCTGTTGCATTTTTCATTTTCATTTCAGTTAATCGAGTTTAGTTCTAAACTACTTAATTATTTTGTAATAAGCTGCCTAATTAAATTTTTGTAATCTGCAACATAACAATGTATAATCAAATACACTTGAGGCGATTATTTACATAGGGTTGGTCTAACTACAACTATTTTATGCTATTATACAGTAAGCACAAAAACCGCTATGAATAACTGAAAAGTGATGTAACTGTTAGCCAAAAAGTTCAGTTACAGTTATATTATTGGTTTATACATTGCAAGTACGTGTTTTGTTAAATGTCGGTTTATTCGCTGAATCGCGCTATAGAGATTGTTTTGTTCATATATTTAAGCTAAGTTTATAAAATTTGTATTTGAAAATACCTGGCTTACACCAATACCCTGTTAACCCGTTCTTACTTGTTAGTAAGTATGTACAGGGTTTTAAAGCAGAAAAGTACTTTTGCAAGTAAATAATATAATTTAATATACAGTTAGTTATCAGAAAATTATGTAGCTTTTAAAAAAATAGTTCGGTTACAAATAACAATATTGTGATGCTGAAACAACAATCATTTTGTAACCAACTACTGAACAAGCATAAGAATTATCGAAATCGTAGTTATTAACAAAACAGTTTTGTAAATTTGACATAACTGTTTTCTTATAACAATAAAACTATTTTAAACAAAACATACTTTGTTTACTGGTTACTATAGTTATGTAGTCACTATTTTTATGTCATATATTCTAAACTAGTGGCCCGCCCTCGCTTCGCTTCGGTGTAGAGCTGTAGTGTAAACTATACTTTTTGTTCTCAGGCTTGTGCTATAAAGAATGACTTTATTGTGAGTCAACCATAAAAGATAGACATATGCTGTTGCGGGATATTTTTTAGACAATTTTATCCTTACACGCCTGAATAGCTCGCAGATTGCAGAATTTTTTCAGACTTAAATGACATTTATCGTTATATTTTGGACAATTCACACAATATCTTTATAAATTATAGCCTATGTGTTATTCTGATCTATAAGCTACATTACTGTAAAGTTTCATTAAAATCCGTTTAGTAGTTTTTGCGTGAAAGAGGAACAAACATCCATCCATCCAAACAAACTTTCGCCTTTATAATATTAGTAGTTTGTAAATTTGACATAACTGTTTTCTTATAACAATAAAACTATTTTAAACAAAACATACTTTGTTTACTGGTTACTATAGTTATGTAGTCACTATTTTTATGTCATATATTCTAAACTAGTGGCCCGCCCTCGCTTCGCTTCGGTGTAGAGCTGTAGTGTAAACTATACTTTTTGTTCTCAGGCTTGTGCTATAAAGAATGACTTTATTGTGAGTCAACCATAAAAGATAGACATATGCTGTTGCGGGATATTTTTTAGACAATTTTATCCTTACACGCCTGAATAGCTCGCAGATTGCAGAATTTTTTCAGACTTAAATGACATTTATCGTTATATTTTGGACAATTCACACAATATCTTTATAAATTATAGCCTATGTGTTATTCTGATCTATAAGCTACATTACTGTAAAGTTTCATTAAAATCCGTTTAGTAGTTTTTGCGTGAAAGAGGAACAAACATCCATCCATCCAAACAAACTTTCGCCTTTATAATATTAGTAAGGATAAGGAAGTAAGGATAAGGAAGTAAGGATAATACATTTTTTTTGTTATAAGTAATTCAAATTTTCAGTGAAGCAGCATACAATACGGTGTATCCTATAATCATTATAATTATCCTGAGTAACATACAAAATGGTATATTCAATTATATTAATATTTACCTTGGGCGGCGTATAACACAGTGTATCCTATGAGCGCACCGGCTTGCTTGTGCGGCGGTATGGGTTGCCAACTCACTCGCAACGCTGTTGAAGTGACGCCACTGCATTCCACTGCCGATGGTCCTTCTTCAGGAGCTGTAAGAAATAAATAATTAATAATATAACCATCTATCAACCATAGAGCAAGCAATTAACCTAAAGTCGGACCACGATTACTTTTGCAGAGTCAATAATCTGGTCATACCAGAAAAACTTGATTCGGCAGCCCTTTTAAGACGTCATTCAAAAATGTCTTAAATGTCATGTTATGCAAGAATCTTTCGATTGAAGATTTTTTTATTTGATTAAAAGAAATCTCTTTTTTATATATACCTAATGGTAAAATAAGATATATACACAAACAACAATTAAACGATTTTTCACAAAAAGATTTTTTTTTTTTTTTTATAAGCCAAATATACAAAATAGCAGTGACTAACTAAGTATCGCATGCTAGGAACAATTATTGTTATTTTCTCCTAACTGAAATGCATTACCTATTTTATTTTTCTTAAAATAACGTTTGTAATTCAAGAGTTTCGTCGTTTCGTCTCCCAAAGTACTCAACAGATCTTCACCAAATTAATGTGTGATCATATCGCCAAAAAACTGATTGAAACAAAAAACCTGGCCAAGCGCGAGTCTAGTAAGGCTCTATTAGGGTTCCATGCAATGAAATAATCCTGTTATTGGAGATTCCTAACATGAATGAGTTAAAAAATAGTTCGTTTCTGAGCTCTATCCAAATCTACGTCTTAGTTCGCAATATACTGCGAAAGCAAAAATCATTTTCATTTCTCATTCTCGGAAAGTGGTGTTGTTTTGATATGTTTGTTGGGTGGAAAATGCTGCTTCTCTCCCTAGAGAGGGAAAAACTAATACAAATTACTTCTTCGAACTTTAAAAATAGAACTACTGTCAGGTGTGAAGAGTTAATTGTAAAAAAAATGCTGCGGCCATGTAAGTTTCTCTAAACAGCCAGTGTGAACTTAGCACAAACTTCTTTGAGCGGAATAAGCCACAACAATTACGCTGTTCCATATTTAAATTTAAAAAGTCGACATTAATTGGCGGGATTCTAAACTGTTATGTATCTGCGACGGAATAAAAATAATCTTTTAAGTAAAACAGAGCAATCCAACTTTGAATATTAAAAATGAGTTCAAGCGATTCAGAAATGTTGACACGGGATTCAATTAATGAGGAGGCAAATTGTGGATATACATTGAGGATTCAGTCCAAAATAAAAATAAAATATCAAACCAATTAACTGAAACTATTAAAATACGCCCCAATTCGCCTTAGCCGACAACTTCCAGGGAGTATCCGTCATGGAATCCATCGTTTGATGAAATAACAGAATCTCCTACTTTTACAGATATCCAAAACAGCCAAATTTGTAATAGTATATCAAACAGCATAAACATTCCATACAAAAATGTAACTTTTAATTTCACTAATTGTCCTAATATGACAATTAATTTTAAATAGCTACTTCTAATTTCATGGTATATATATACCTATTTATGAATTAATATTTTTGATAAACAACTAGTTTTATTTTCTTCATATTCGAAATGAAAAGTAGAGTGTTTAACTCGGGTAAAAGAATCAATTCCTACTCGGACTATAGCCTAAAGCCGTCTAAATACCTCGGGAATTGATTCTTTCTACCCTCGGTATATTATAATTAAGCATTAGAATTGTTATTTATTCGATATAATATTTAGAATAATACAATTTGATGAAATTGTGGCGGCGACATCTACACGCCTCACATTATGATCCATAGAGGAAGTAATCACTCGCCTCGTCAAGAGATGTCACTACCGGTGCTGCACTCATAACGTATGGAAACCTACATCGCGCAAGAGAAATTCGGAGGTTAACTCTTCATATATGCAATGCCCGACCAACATTAGTCGGGCGCTCGGCCCCTGAGCTACGCGACCTACCATCACCAGCTCGAAGGATTATCTTCTCTTTTGGCCGTCCTACAAACTGAACAACTAAACATCCGCTATTTAACCTAATTTCCATGGCAACCTATCTATAGCTTCACTTATTTATATATATTGACGTATGAACGTAAGACATTTAATATGCCTCCGTGGCCGAGTAGTTTGTACGCCGAGCTTCATGGTGTCGCCGACTCGAGAGGTCCCGGGTTCGACTCCCAGTGGGGGCAGATGTTTGTGTGATGAATACGAGCATTTGTACTCCATTCATGGAGTGTGTTTAATATGTATTTCTATATAAATATACTTATATACTTACAGTATATGTATGTCCGTTACCCTAGCATCCCATAACACAAGCCTTACAGTGCTTACTTTGGGGCTAGGCTAATTGGTGCGAGTGTTGGATTTTTTTACATAATACAATTAATGAATATTTTAGTGACAAGTTTTAAATTTTGACATTTGTATTATTTTTAGACAATAGAATTATTTTTTACAATATGTTATAATAGACAAGTTTGAAAAGTTTATTGAGACATATTTAATTTACGACTGTAGATCTACCTATTTAGTTTGTAGGAATTATTGCAATACCCTAACTGGGTTCTTGTTGGGAATTATATATGTAAACAGCAAGAATGCAATAAATGAATATGAATTATAATACTAGTGCACACTTAACAGTTCAACTAAACTGTCCCTTGTAAACTGTCCCTGTAACTAAAATGCTCGGAATCAAGCGCCCTTAGAAAAGGGTAGCCGTGAAAGTTGTCATTTTTGCTACAAAACCAAAAATCGAAACAAGTAAAGAATGTGAAAATTTTGTATGTGCCATATGCACATCAGATTTCCAAAACTGTATTTAAACAACAGGTACTGAAAACGCCGATTCATAACGTACTTTGTAAATTGTGATGAAAACAAACAATAGTAGATTGTTAACATTATTGATCTGAATAGAAAACATTTGATAAAATTTAACAAAACAGTAAAAACAAAATTCTGCAGAAATCGTAGGTAAGCAGCTAATGTCCCAATGTTTCTATATTATTACACTCGCAATTGGAGAAACGCGTGAAGTTTCGACTTTAACGAAAATAAAGCGGGAAAACTTTTTAATTTTACCTATTTGACTGTTAATTACTTTTCGCGGAGCAAAAGTTCGGGGAAAATTCGTTAAGCACATAGCGAGAGGATATTCCACGAAAGAAATTAATTCTGAAATCGCTCAGAAAACTTGAAAAAGCTCCCCAGGTGGGAGCCCATTCAGTCTTAATTAATAAACGCTACGGAAATTTTTAATTGTTGCGATTATTAATTGGTGCATCACGCTCGAGAACGCGTGAACAATTAGTATTAGTATTTCGCGTAGGTCTACTAGTACCACTAACTCATACTCACACTGCAGAAGATCAGTGAAATGACCTTGTGTTGTTGCCGAGGTTGCAGCACATATATACCGTCTAAGAGACTCGCCGAGGTGACTGGTGATCAAAAGGATGGCAGCTACCTTGGTCAAGGGGTTAGCCTTGCCATCCAACGTGGAAATGCTGCCAGCCTATCATTCCCAATAGGCTGGCAGCAGGGCCGTCTTTAATCTATTGGAGGCCCTGGGCATATTAGGATAATGGGGCCCCTATAACTTTGATGTGGATGACTTGAAATGGAGCGAGTTAAATAAAAGCTAGTAAGTTGGTTTTGTAGTCAGTAATTTAGGTTTGATTTCATCCAAATTATTTAAGTTTTTTGGTAATAAATATTGGTTAACGTTTGGTGATCTGACAGGAACTAGGGACTTTGTATTTGATCTGAGGGGGGCCCCTATCGATCGCGGGGCCCTGGGCACTTGCCCTAAGTGCCCACTGGGAAAGACGTGTCTGGCTGGCAGCATTTCCACGTTGACCTGACGTAGGTAGTATATTATTTAAGTACCTAGTTAATTCTTTTTAAGTTTGTGGACAATAATTATTAAATAGTTTAAAGCTTATGTAATTTAAATATTAATATGTAAATATTTTAGATAAAAATAAACTTATATGTGTATTTGTATAATGTATCCTTACCGTTTCCCTAGTACACAAGCTTCACAGTATTTGGTTCGTACTTTGGGACTAGACTAATTGGTGCGTGTGTTACAAATAGTATTTGTCAATTAATTTTAGTTGTGTTATTATTTTAAGCAACAAACTGATAGATTTATAAATTCAGTTTCTTTTTTTGTGGAATTTTTACGAATCAATTTTTTCTAATGTATTAGTAATGTATTTAAGTTTCATATAAAACGCAAAGGCTATTTTCTTTACTTAATTTTGAACATAATACGAATTATTTCTATTATACTTTTTCCATATTCCAACAGACGTCCGTCATTCTGTCAATTACGTTGATATTTAGATTAAAATTATTACCGTTGGTTTATTCCCTTGCCATTTCTCAGATAAAATATTAATTTTGAAACATTTTTCTTGGTGAACAAATTAGGTTTTCCTTTTATACATATTAAAAAAAATTTACAACAAAGAAGCGCGTTTATGCAAATCTGTACAATATTTATCAGAATAGAAAAACCAACAGTATTATATCTCCCTGGAGAATACAAAAAATAAATCTAATGGGGAATCTTAGTACGCTTGTAACGGAGCCGATTTTTACCCGTGTCAAAGCACTGTTATACACCGTGTCTACGTTCGGTTCTCAGCTGGGACACTATGTGGGTTTGCAAATGACACTGGTCCCAATGACGGTTTAGTGTTGTTACAAACCTGTACAAAGTACTCGTGAACAATCAAGCAACGCGGCGGAAACTGGTTAGTTTTGTTTGCGTTATAATAACCATTGTCACCAACTATGTCACAGTTATGTCATGTCATAAACTAATGTCATAAATAATCGTAAAGTCACAGTACTGTCAACTTACTTTGTAATCAAGCAAGAAACATAATGCTGATTTGCTAACTTTTGAATAAAGGTCCAATTCTTCGTTTATGTATTACTAGCTGTGCCCCGCGGTGTTACCCGCGGTTTATTAAGGATATTTTCCCGCAGTAAAACGTAGCCTATGTGTCAAACCAGGGTGTCAGCTAACTCCATACCAAATTTTATTAAAATCGCTTCAGCCGTTTAGACGTAAAGAAG